CTGGCTCTTTAAACATAAATTCATCTACATGAGAATGTATGGCTAAACTTTTATTTGAATTCATTTACTGTGCACATTGTTAAAAGCAAGGCACACTTTTAAAGTACCATACTTTGTTAATCTTATCATGTATTCCAATATTAGGACAGGCAATTTCAATACATTCTATTAATATAAATTTTCCTATTGTTGCCTGTTTATAATACTCCGTGTGAGTTTTGAAAAATTACAAGTATTGGAAAGGTCTGACTAGGTTTCGAAAGTCACGATTTTGAATGGGAAATCAATATACTTTGGGCTTGCTGGCCTACTAACGGCCTCTATCGGGCCTTAATTGCAGTCCTGAGAGCTTTGATCTGATCAATGGATTAATCCCTGAGTGGATTCATAATCTGATGGCATTATCAGGAAGTGGGGAACAGTAGGGGCATGGTCTTTACCTACAGGAAGATATCTGTATCTTGTCTCCTGCTCCCTGTACTCTGGAGCACACAGGCCACCACCATGAACTGAGCAGCTCATCCCTCTTAGGGGTAAGACACTGCCAGCAAGTCAGTGGTGGATGGCAATCTCTGGAGCAGTGAGCCAAGATAGGCAACTGTTTCTTTTCAGTTGCTTTTCTCGGGGACTTGTCACAACAATGAAAAGCCTAAACTGTGAGTGAATTGAACAGTGTCTCGGCCTCTACAGAAAGTTGCTCATAACCGCATTATTTGAAGTTTTTGAACCTCACAATTTCACCCAGGATATCATGGTGTTCCCTAAACATCAATGACAAGTGGCATAGTCCTCTATGATGTCTACCATATTAAAAATTAGTTGACTCTCCCACCAGGGAGAACAGTATTTATCTAACTATCTGTTTTCTTATTCTATTGAATCTAAGACTGGGCATTTTAGGCAACGATGATCACAGAGAAAATATAAATACAAATAGAGCACCAGGTCAGCTTCTTTCTCCAGTCTTTCAAAGCAAAGGGGTGGGGAGGGAACGACCGGGTGACGCCGTAAGATGCTTGGCAGTGAAGCGAGCCATGTGTTCACCAAGGCATAAAATCAGTTCATGGGCATGGCCAGTGGGGACAGAGCAGAAACTGTGAACCATTCCAAAGAGGGGGAAATACAGACTGACTAACCAGGGACACACCCAGTGAGACTACCTGCAAGCAAACCTTCACAGAGAAATAAAGAATGTTTTCATCGGCAGACTTCCAAGACTGCAACCACAAGATGAGTAAATGGAGATTGCTAACTGCTATCAGTAGCCAAATGGTGTGTTCAGAGCACAGAAATAATTATGCCAGTGCAAAGCAGGGCTATGGATATTTATGTAGTGACAATTATTCTACATTTTTTTTAAATACAGAGTATAGCAGTCCATATGAATACTAAACTACACTAAAGAAATGAGACAGATCATAGACACATTGATAAAACTCAAAGAGCTGAGTAAAATCACCTAAGAACCTCAGTCAATATTTTCATTATTTAGGGGGGGGGGAATTAAAAGGAGGGGCTAGTTCCTATCTCATTGCTAATAAAGCCTAGAAAATGTGTATCTAAAACATCATAAGAAGGAGGTAGGTTTGCTGATAAATGCTTGCGTACGTGCAAGCATGAGGACCTCAGATCAGATCCTTAGCACCCACGTAAAAGCCAGGCACGGAGCCTCATAATCCCAGCATTTGGGTTGCAGAGGCAAAGGGATCCATGGATCTCATTGTGCAAACCAGCCTCACCAAGTTGGTCAATTCCAGATTCATTGACACATCCCATTCCAAACAAATAAGCTGGAGAGTGACTGTAGAGGGTACCCAATGGCGATAGCTTCTACATGCTCACACACAGAAGTATACAACACATACACAAACACACACAGACATACATGCCCATAAACACATACAAATGTATACAATACACACACACAAATGTACACAATACAAACACACATAAACCACAAATGTACACAATACAAACACTCATAAACACACAAATGTACACAACACACATATATACAAGGCAGTAATCGTCAGCTTTCAACTCACTAGATACCAAAGTCAAACTTGCTAAAACAAAAATTATTACCACAAACACTCTCATTCCAACCACTCATCAAGCTGACAAATGCACAGGGAAGCGCTTGGTCCTCAAATGGGCAACCTGTCTGAAACTTCAGTGCAGAGGTTGCTTCGGACTCAGAGTTGAGTGACAGCTGTAAGAAGGTCCTACAACTCCTGACTCAGATAGTTCAGAATGCCAGGTTTAAAAAAAAAAAAAAAAAAGGAAAGTGGTATTGAAGGATAAAAGCTGCTGAAGTTACTATATAAAAAGTAAGAAACTCACTAATGGTAAAAATTAATGAGGATGCTAAAAATAGCCATAGATACATCGATAGATAGGTAGATATTTATATACGTGTGTTTTGTTAACAGTATAAGCTATAACATAAATGCATGTAGTTTTTTGTTATTATTACAATATAAATTACATTTATTTTTATTTGTATTAAGTTTGGAACAATTCAGAAATTATTTCTATTCAAATTTGTCCTCATTTGTGTCAAAACGATGTTTTCAATCAACTCTGGATAGTCTTACTTGTAATCTGCTCATCCCTTAGCATGGATATAGTTTTTAGAAATCATTTCAAATGACTCAGAGCTAGAGCTGTGCTTAGGGTGCAGTTAAATCCAGAAGAGGCATCACAATGAGCTGCAGCCAGTCCAAGTTCAGAGACTAAGACCGCAGCAGAGTCTCGGCCCTAGATGGACATCTGTAATCATACCGCCTCCCCCAGGGCAGCTCTGGGAGCATCCGAAAAGTGGGCAAAAGGATTGGAACAACCAGAAGTGGAAATACAGCAGAGTAGGTGTACGTACGAACTGACAGCGGTTGTGACAGTATACACGAGATCTGTGCAAGATGAAGCCAGACAAAGTGTGGAGGTGGCCGTGAAGCCTACTGAGGAACCATTGGCAATTGATGCTACTAGGAAAGGAAGAGGCAGTTTTCTTCAGGGATGCAGCATCTGAGAGGTTACCCGTGCTCTACTAATGCTATCCACATGACATACTGGAAGCACTAAATGGACAAACTGGACTCAAAAAAAAAAAAAAAAAAAAAAAACACCGTGAAATTGTGAAGGAGTAGTGGGGGTTGAAGAAGAGGAATTGGAGAGGAGGGACTGGGGGCCAGACCTATCAAAACATAAGTGAATGTATGAAACTCTCAAACAATTAAAAACGAAAGAAAGAGGTGCCACCATGAGACATTTTTAGTCACATATTCTGAGCAATAGCTAATCATTATTAAAATGTAAACCACAAAGGCACTTCTTTAAATAGAACATCTACTTAGGCTACATACTCTTGTAAACTAAACAAAACTCTTCATTTCGTAGGCACATTTCTGTAAAATGCCATATAATCCCTCAAGGTTGTAGAGCTTAGCATCATGGGCAGCTACTTTTCTGCAGAACCTTGCGTAATCATACTCAGCACTGGGGCAGTTTTGGGGCCACGTGCTTCTCAATAAAAACATTTTCTCTCCATCTTCTGAACATGTGAGAAAAATACTTAAATGATACAGCTTTCAAATATCAAGAAAATTTCTCCTCTACCACCCACTGAACAGACCATGCAGCCCAATTAAGGCAGCTTAAATATTACTCAACAAAGATTATGAGCACACGGCTGAGTGAGGAGGAGTAGAACAATTTCATCCATGGACCTGAGGATGCTCTTCCTGGTATACATTAGGCAAAACTACATAAAGTTGACATTTCTGTAAATCACAACTCATTTAATGCCAGTAACTTCATATGGAGTAAATTAATAAATTAATGATATACTCAGACAAAAGAGTTCAGAGAGCTGCCAACAAGGCTGATTTCCATGGCCATCTTGGTGACAACTTGTACCTATACCACATTCCGGCGTTTATGCAAACCTAAGCTGGTATTGAGCACAGCAACTCCTTGAATCAGACAGATTAAGTATCCTGATCTCTATTTTGCAGATGAGGAAAATGAGGGTCAAGCATTAAATCACTTGTAAGCATAAATAGAAGGTTAAGTCACTTGTGTGAATATCTAAAAGTAATGGGGAAAAGAATCCAACCATTTCAACTTGGAATCTTTACTGCAAATAGCATCCTTCAAAGAGACAGTCAAAAGCATAAGGGTGCCTTTGTACGCCAGCATGATGGTACACACTGGGCTACTGTCATCAAAAAGAAAGAAAACATGTAGGTGCTAGTAGTCCACTCCCAGAGTTTACATGTGGACAGATTCCGTAAATATCTACATGATAAGAGTCTAGGTTGGAATTACCAAGTGCTTTTAAAAAATGTGGGTGGGTACTCAAGTACATTCTTCTAATTTATTTGCCTACTTCTGCAACCCATACTTCCCTCCAGAATTCTACCCTTTCCCTCGCTGGCTTTTTTCTTATCCACAAAGGTCACAAATCTGGTTAACTGTACTATGCAGCCACCAGAGAATCAAACTCTGCAAAAGCAAACAATGTGGACCCAACACCATCAATCACGGACACCAGCCTGGTAACTGCTGGTGCCCAGAGGCTGGAATGCAGCTCACAACAGTATCTATTAACTGGATAAACAGTCAGTGACTCAAATCGGTTGAGGTAATGCATCGACCCCACTTAAACCAAAAGAAAAACTTGCTACACTGATGATCATGTTTTACTGATAAAAAGGATCTTTTATATTAACTTTAAAATGAGTCAACTATAGAGACTATGAGTTATAATCAGAGATAGCTTCCTCTTCAATTAGCTGCCCATGAAGCAATGACAGACTCTTGCTTATTTACTAATTCAAAATAATATATATTTTACCAATGCTATCTTTAGATAGCAAAACTGATAACCCCTTCTCTACTGTCTCATACTGTGGAGGTGTCAGTTTGCAGGGATCAAATCTCACTTCGGGTCAGGGATACCAACTTGTGACAACAGAGAGCATGCCTGAAATACTTACTCACACAACAGAACACCATTTTCTAGAGAGGCTCGAAAATCCTTTGTTTCAAAATTCTTCTCAGTCACAGCCTGAAAGACAGATTGGGGTATTAAGTAAATAGGGACAAGAAACAAAGTAAATTCACAATGTTATTAACTAATAAGTATCCAATGTTTTATCTGAATGATTTGCATGTATCACCAGTTCCTCATAGGAAATCATGTACTGTTCTGTGTTACAACTATGTCAGTGTGGATAAATACTCAGAAACAACTAAAGAAGTACTTTTTGTAACCATTTTATTGGATAATAAAGGTCACTGAGCCCATGAATTTGAAGAAGAGCAAGCATACAGGAGGGCTTAAAAGGAGGAAAGGAAGGGGGAATGATGTAAATAATTATACTATAGTTTTCAAAGAGGAACTATGGATGACCCCATAAAAATAAATATACACAATCTAAGATATAAACTTGAAATGGCATTTACATCTGCTCAATTCCATCCTAAAATTCCTCATTTCCGGTTGAAGACAGGGAGGAGGATCCTGTGAGCAAGGAGGGTCAAGATCATGACGGGGAAAACCCACAGAGACAGTTGACCCGAGCTAGTGAGAGCTCAGAGGCTATGGGCTGACAGCTGGGGAGCCTGGATGACTGACCTTAGGTGTTTGCATGTGAGTGGCAGCTGTGTGGCTTGGTCTGTTTGTGGGATCCCTAGCAGTGGGACCAAGATCTGTCCCTGGTGCATGAGCTGGCTTTTTTGGAACCTATTCCCTATGGTGGGATGCCTCTCTCAGCCTTGATAAGCCATGCTTTGTTGAATCCCATGGGAGGCCTTACCCTTTCTGAGGAGCTGATGGCGCGGTAGACAGGAGGTGGGGGAGGGAACAGGAGGAGAGGGGAGAGGGGACACTGGTTGGTATGTAAAATAAATTTTAAAATGTAATCCAAAAAATTCCTCATTTCATTCCATGGCTAAATAGCAGAGGGGTTATTCCCAAACTTATTCATGAAGATATCCAATTTGTGGTTATAAGCACTAGTTATTCTTGCTGTGTGTTTGTGTGAGAGTGTATACTGTATGCTGTGAGTATGGTGCATGTATGTGTGTGTGCACGTGCGCGTCTGCGCCCACATGCACACTTGTATACATACCTGCAGAGGCCAGAGGCTATTCTATTCCCTACCTTACCAAGCTCTGCCTTCTTTCTTTAAGACAAAGTCTCTCTCTGTGCCGGGAGCTGCCCTCATAGCTAGCAAGCCCGGTGGATCCTCTGGTTGCTTCCTGTCTCTGCTGCCACAGTGCTGAGGTCACAGTCCCACATACAGCTACAGCCAGCTTTTTACTCAGTGCTGGGACCTGACCTCAGGTCTTCATGCCTGCACAGCAAGCACTGTTGCGAGCTGAGCCATTTCCCCAGCCCGAGAGCTACCTGTTGAAGCACACACTAAGGGATTTGTAAACCCTAGCACAGAAGGAAGAGTGAGGCAAGATGGCAAATGCTTGGAACGGATAGTTCCCAGCTGACAGGCTGTCCATAGCTGTCACCGCCAATGGTCTTAGGAAAATGCCTAGGAAATATAACTAGATTTAGTCAGAATGGGAAGGGAGCTCCCCAGCAGCAGCAGTAGAGGAAAATGGAATGATGACAAGGAGGATGGGATTCCAAAAATAGCTCTTGGGCCCATGTTCTCAGCCCTGGGGTTGTGACAGCAGCTACCCAGCAGATAAGTGTTCAACATATGTCAGCAGGAATCCTTGTCCTACCGCCTGCCACTCTAGAGAAAAACATATTCCTGGCATCATGAATTTGAAAGTCATGAATCTTACATCCCAGGTCGACTAAAGGGACCAGGCACATGACGCAATAATATTCACCATACTCCATTGTTGCTGTCTTTGCAATTCACCTAGAACCCTTGATCCTATAATGTTCCATAGTGCCCAAGATTGCTACAGCCAGATAGGTGGTAAATTCAGAGCCACCTTTCTACCCAAAGTTATCAGAGCAGAGCATGGTGATGTGTGCCTACATTCAGAGAGAGAGAGAGAGAGAGAGAGAGAGATGGGGAGGGAGCAAAAGGGAGAAACACTGACTTAGTTTCTCATAAGCTGCTTTTATAAGAGTCTGACCAGATTGTGATACCCTCAAACCATGGAAGAAGTAGAGAGCCCTTCCCCATCTACAACAATCATCTGTATGAGAACCACACAGCTGCATAAACTGTACACATGGCTGCTGACTATTCCTGCTAAGCAGGAAACAGAGCTGAAGATTAATAATACAGACACAAGTAGTTCTTCCCTCTAGGAGCTCAGTCAAAAAAGGTAAAGGCAGTATTTAAAAACATAGTTAAAAAAAAAAAACAAAAACAAAAACCAAAAACCTGTCTAGGCAGACTATGATGCACTCCTTCAAGAATTACCTTGAGTGGCCCACCCAGGGATTAGCTCAGATAACCTGTACAACCAACTCTCCAATTTCCCCATGAACATATCAGAAACAAACTCAAAGTGAGGGTACACCCAAGTATGGGAAACACCGAGACAGCTAATTCTTGAGAAATCTCCTACCCATAGTCAGAGAGAGAGACCCAGAAATGCCCAACAGTCAGAGTCATGCTCTCCAATTCAAGCAAAACCCTCAGGAGCACTAAGAGAGGATAACCACAACAGTCTCAAGCCATCTAGATGAGAAACAGTGATCTAGAAAGAAAGGCTGTGATGAGCAGACCCAAGAAGACTAATGAAGCATGACAGTCACCACAGTGCATGGCCAGTCCAGAGAGCAAGTGTAGCAAGTGACAGGAGGGAAGAGACTTGAGTCACACCGAGCTAAACTCAAACCCACTTTCACTGCCGAGGAGCTGTGAGATCTTAAATACATCAAATCTAAACCAGGGGAAATAATCACATGACCATTCATGTGTAAAGCCTGCCAAAGAGTGTCCACCTAATCCATGACATGTGTCAAACCTGAAGTTAGCACTCGCCCATACTCCAGTAATTTAACACATAGCAATTTAGCAAGGTGCCTAGAATCCTACTTAATAAAGTGAACACGCCGAAATAGAGCTATTCAGAAACCCCACCTGCCCAGAAGTGCTCAACTGTTGAGCCATCTCCCAGCCCCTAGACAAAGACTCTTAATAATAATCTGTATGTAGAGGACATGCAAATCTGGCAGGCTGGGTAACTATAGTAACTAAAGAAGGCCAGCATCCCCCAAACCAATTTGTGCTATGTATCCAGAAGTCTTAAGTCTGGGGACAGACATATAACTTCGTGAGTAAAGGTGACTGTGACCAAGCCTGATGGCTTTAGTTTGATGCCTAGAACCCATGTGGTAGAAAGTTGTGTTCTAACTTTTCACATACAGGCTGTGGTATGGTATGTATGCAACACCACACACACACACACACACACACACACACACACACACACACACACACACACACACAAAACTAAGAAGTCTTAAGTCTGTACAGGCTCAGACCAGAATGAGCAGGTCTAGGAATTTACAACCACACAGGGACATACAAAATTAGCTGCACAACAATAACAGTTGCAAACATATTAAATTGCCCAGCAATAGGAAATTGGTTAGAATATGATACACCCAGAAAACTAGACACAATTTCAGCTCATATCAGGAAAGTAGATTTATCCATTGGGGGGAAGAAAAAAAACCTTGAAATATTAACTAAAAGTGTCTTGCAAAACACATGATTTTGCTCCAATTTCTACAAATCTGTAAGAAAGTGTCTATAAATATAGCAATTATTCATAAGTGCTGGAATAAGGTATTTTAGGTTTATTTCTTTATATACCTTTACAATCACAGGTGCTTGTGCAATGTATAAATTGACTTTGAAAGAGCAATAGTCAAAAGAACTCAGACTCCATTAGGCATAGGCAAATTCCTGTATTTCCTACATGTAACAGGGAGGAAGAAAGAGGAAGGCTCCAGCTGTTTTGTTTTTCAAGACACAGTCTTCCCTTATCCCCTTATAGTCCTGGCTATACTGGAAGTCATTCTGTAAACCATGCTGGCCTCGAACTGCCTCTGCCATCAGAGTGCCAGGGTCAAAGGTATGCACCATCACCGCCCTGCAGGCCACCAATTTTTACTGTAGGTAATTTCTCATATCTATTTAGTTCATAAGGCAGTAAATTTAGTTCTCCTTATTATTCCTATTTCACTAGTAAGAAATGTCTTAACACAAACTAAATGTGTTTGTGCATGTGTGTGTTCGTGTGTGTGTGTATGAAAGAATGAAAGTAAAACTTTGGTACTAGACATTTTATGACTACTAGAAAACATGTATATTTAGACCAACTAGATAGTGTTGGTGCATGCCTTTAATCCCAGGAGACAGAGCCAAGCATCTCCAGCTGCCCAGCAGGGTGGGGATTCTGACACCTGTGAGCCTGTGACTCCTCCTGCTCTGCCACTACCTACCAGTAACTGTCCAAGTGCTTCACCTGTTTGCATTCTCATCCGAGAAATGGAGACGAAAGGTTATCCAGCTTGTGGAGTTAGGCTGAGAATTAACTGATATGATACCCATGAGATCCTCTCAGTGCTTGCCTGACTCAGAAGCCATCACAAATGCTAGCTGTTACAGCAGTTACTGTCCAGCCAGAGATCAATTGTCACATCTTTCTACAGTAGAGAAAAAGCAGTGTCCTTGAAAATGGGTGTCTAACTACCAAGGCAGTAATGTAACATTCATTACGTACAGAAACTGACTCCGGATTATAAAAAGCTATTGAATCAATCCTGTATATTAAAACATTGTAAAAAATTATAATGATCTGTAAAACACCTCCTAACATGATGAGCGCAGCTTGTTTTTAAAAATTAAATTATACTTTCAAATGAGAGCTCATCCTTACATTAGGGAGAATGATATTTGGAAGAAATCGGTGATCTAAAAGAAAGTCCAGCTCTGAAAGTATGTGCTTGGCAGTTTTAGTTGTTTGGGTCTTCGATGATTGTGAACCTTACTCATTAGTAAGCTATTTAAGGTGTGATACATTTTACATAATGAGGCTGTGATTCATAGCATTAAGTAAATAGAGACC